AGTGTTCGTGGTTCTCCCATGTCCTGGGTGCAGGGACACAGTGCCCGTGGCTCCCCCATGTCCTGGGGAACATATTTTAGTGATTAAAGTTGGCCCTAATGTGGGTGTTTTCTCAAATATTCATGCAAATCATCCTCTAAAGAGAGAATGTATTTTTGTTAGGATGTCAAGATCAGCTTGGTGTGAACTTCCCTTGTCCTCATGTGGCATCTCTAAGTTGTGGGCTTCCTGTGGTCCTGGAGAGAATGTTCCGGCTCGGCCTCTCTTTAACAGGAGCGTGGGAGGGATGGAGGCCGCGTGTGAGGGGCACATGCTTGGGGCCAGGATGAGGCGCCTCTCGTGGGATGAGAAGAGTTGCCGAGTCCTTACCGCCCGAGGCCCCGGGGTGGGCTGGGGGATGGGTCTGAATCAAAGGAGGCCAGAGGTTGCCTGGCTCTGGGCAAGACAGAGGGAGCTAGTGCCAGCCTAGCTTGGTGGGCTGGTGAGGATGTGGCACAGATGTATTGAGGAATCCCTGGGCCCCAAGCCTGCCGAGTGCGAGATGGGGAACCTGGAGGTGGGAGGCTCCACGCTGGCTCACATGCAGGGGCCGAGGGTTTCCCAGGGCAGGCCCCTAGGCCCCTGTCCACACCTGACCCTGGGCCCTGCTGGCCACTGCTCGGCCCCTGTGCCCACGTCACAGCCTGCCTGTGCCAAGGCCCCTGGGAGATGCAGAGAGAAGGGAAAGGGGCTTGCCCTCAGCCACCGCCTTAGTGGGGTGCGGGTAGCACCGGCCTCTGTGTGGTCCTGCGCGGGGTGGTGGGGGAGGCAGGATGGACAAGAGTCTCCCCTCTGAAGGCGGTGCTGGGAGGAAGTCCACACATGGAGGTCGGATTCTTGTCAAGGGGTGGAAAGCCAGGCCAGGCACCTGTGTGAACCCAGTGCCACGCGGACTCCCGTGGGGAGGAGGGGGAGGAGGACAGGCAAGGAGGCCTCGAAGAGGGAAGACCAGAGAAGGGGGGAAGGGGGAGAGTGGAGGGAAAGAGGTGGGATAAGGAAGAGAAGGAGGACGAAGGGCGCGGAGCAAGGTGGGGGGAGCCCAGCGCACGGAAAGGAGGCGCGGGTCAGGGGCACACACCCCCTGGGGCAGGGGCGCAGGCCGGCTTTCAGGTACCGGCCTTTTGTCTGCTGCCCTGGGCTCGCCTGTCAGCCCCGCTGTCAGAGGCCTAATCTTTTTTTCTTCGCGGCTGAAAAGGCCCAGCGCCACATCAGGCGACACACGGCTGCCTATTCTCCTTCCCCGCGGAACCCAATCACTGGACAGCGCCGCGATAATTCACTCCCCAGCCCGCCCTTTGAAAAGGTGGGCCGCCTCTGCGCTGCTCCCCAGCAAGATAAATCATGTACTCGAAATTAACTTCCATTGAGAGGGAGGGCAGGAAGAAAGGCTGATGGGCTGGCGTGGCGGCCAGGGAGGACCGGCCTTGGTAAATGTCAGTGCGGATAATTGGGGGGCTGTGATTAAGATCTTATCTGGGTGGGAAGTAAGCGGGAAAGACTTTAATAAAACTCCTGCCCCATCCATGCTCACTAACTTGAGAAGTTATCTGTCCCCCTTTATTTTGGGGGGTGAATTCAGAAGGGAATACCAGAAAGGTCTTAGCGAAGGAAAAGTTGGTTTCAGGGCGTCACTTAAAAGGATTAAACGGACCTCGGAGGAGCCTCCGCGTTTCACTCCTGGTGACCAAAGGCAGAGGAAAAACAAAAGGCAGAGGAAACAGAAGGGAGCACGGCTTTGTCCCCAGATTCCCACTCATACAAAATGTTGAAAATTCAGGGCTGGGTGTCCATCGTGGGCCACGGGGACGGCCTCTCAGCCTCTCTTTTCGCCTCTCTCTAGTCATAAGCATTGTCTGGGTGCTGTAAACGTTTTTTTTTTTTTTTTTTTTCAAGTAAGAGGAGCCCCACGCTTGCACAGCCTGGGGTGCAGGAGGCAGTCTGCACGCAAACACTCAGGGCGAGCTCCCGGGCCAGCTTCGCCATAGGGCCCCGCTCAGCGGCCTTCGCCTGGGAATTTATATTTGCTGCCCTGACTCCAGCAACCTGCAGCTCCAACCCACGCTGCTGGTGGAGGGAGCGTCTGCGGAGGCTGTCCTCCATCGCTGGTGCCCTGGCCCAGCCACCTCCTGCAGACAGGGCCTTCCCGTGTGCGTGGACCACCCCCTGCAGCCAGGCAGCTGCTCCCCAGCAAGGGTTTCTGCCAGCTAAGGGGACAGTCACCCTTGCACTGGCAAATTCGTCTGAGGGCCGTACTCCCCTAATTGGAGTCGCTCAGGGAGGCAAAGGGTGGGCAGCCCCGAGGGCACGCCTGGGCTCCAGCCCCATCATCCTGCTGTGGAACAGGTCCCAGGCCATCCTTCTTGGGGGCAGAGCCTGTGGGGACTCGCTGAGGTCACGTGTGCAAAGGGCTCAGCTGGCAGTTACAAGGACTGGGGTGTGCTCCCTATGCCATGCAAGTCTTCCCGGACTGGTGCAGGGCCTGCTGTGGGGACCCATAGCCCCCAGACTCAGGGAACAGCCAGCCTCTGTGATACTGGGGGGCCTCTTGTGGCGGGGGCTGTGGCCTGTGTGGCTCCAGCGGGTCTGAGATATTACTGGGCCACAGGGACTCCAGAGAGGGGGCTGGACACCTGTGTGTGCACACTGCAACGTTCTCCCCCAAGCTCTGGTCAGCCCATCTGCGGTGGCCTTGCTATGGGCCGCTGGAGGCAGCATTGGGTACAAGGGAGTGGGAGGGGAGGCAAGACAGGGGCCCGGAGGAGACGGGACGGCTAGGGGATTGTGACCCCGGAACACAGTGGCTCCTTCACCCCAGGTTCCAGCCCGAGTGTGACTCAGTCAGTTGGGCAGGGGAGGGCGTGGGGATGCCCAGGACCAGCACATATTAGGTGCTTAGCAAAGGTGCCTGGAGAGGAAGGCTCAGAGGAGGCAGGGAGGGAGGGAGGGGAGGGGACGAGACAGACCCGTCGTGACCAAGGCCAAGGCCTGAGCTGGCAGGGAGGGGCCTGTGTCCATGGCTGACCTCGGCGTCACTGACACTTTGCTCCGAATAATCCCTTGTCCTGCTGGTCGTCCCGGGTGCTGCAGGGTGCGGAGCAGCATTCCCGTCCCCCGCCCACCAGACACGGGTGGCTCCCCTCAGAGCTGACCACCAAATGCGTCCCCAGACATGGCCACGTGCCCCGGGGGCAGAACCCCTGGCCGGGGGCCCTGGGCCAGAGGCAGAGGCTGCATCCTCCCTCGAAGACTCCCTCGAAGGTGCCCCTGCATCTGCCTCCCTCAGGACGGCTCTCCGCTCAGAAGCTCTGGAATCGAAGGAGGCAGATGCTTTTCCTTGAGAATATTTTCTGTTTCGTTTTGAGGAAGAATTTTTTTCTTCTTTTTCTCTCCCACTCGGGATGTGAAGGACAAACACTGGAGTGGTTCCTCTGTTTTCTTTGGTTTTGTTTTTAAACCCACTAGTCATGTGCGGAGGAGTTTCAGAGACAAAGTTGCCAAGTTTTGAAGCGCAGATTTGCATTTAGATGTTCATTTGTGACGGCACAATGTTGCATTAAGACAGCAGCATGTACCCCTGCACACACGCACACACACGCGCACACGCACGTGCAAACACACGCACACACATGCACACACATGCTCACACATATGTGCAAGCACACACGTGCACAGACACAAACCCACACGCACACACGTGCACACACAAACACACGCACACACGTGCACACACAAACACACGTGCAAACACGCACACACATGCACACACATGAACACACATGCTCACACATATGTGCAAGCACACACATGCACAGACACACAAACCCACACGCACACACGTACACACAAACACACGTACGTGCAAACACACGCATACACATGCATACACACGAACACACACACTCACACATATGTGCAAGCACACACACGTGCACAGACACACAAACCCCCATGCACACACGTGCACACACACACGCTCACATGCACACACGTACGTGCAAACACATGCACACACATGCACACCAATGCACACGCACACACATATGTGCAAGCACACACACGTGCACACACAAACACACACACAAACACATACGTGCAAACATGCACACACATGCACACACACGAACACACATGCTCACATGCACACACATATGTACAAGCACACACACGTGCACAGACACAAACACACATGCACACATGCACCCGGGCATGCACACACAGAGGCAAGTCACCCTCCTGCAGGCCCCTGACGGGGAGCTCCTGCGCTTCACTAAACAGCTGCCACTCCCAGCCCTGCCCAAATCATCCCAGGCTGGCCCTGCAGGTGATCTCCAGAGTCCTGATATCAGGGGGAGGGAAGGAAGAGGCCCTGGCTGGGATGTAGGATTCACACTCAGCCCCCAGGGTGAGGGGAGGCGCCTCCCTGCACACCTGGCCAAGGCCTCCTGCTTCTCTGACCTCGGCCCTGGGCCCACCCCACTCCTGGCTGGTGACATCTGGGCGTAGCCTCTGGAGTGTGGCCCACAGGGTGACACATTCGGTTTTCAGCCACAGCGTGGGCCTGGCCAGCCTCTGAGCCTGAGTGCTGCAGCCTTCTGTGCCCTGCCCCGTTCATCCCACATCATCACATTCCACGGTGAGTGGCTGGGGGGGCACTCGCTGTGGGATGGCACCCATCACCCTGTGACCCCACCCCTCCTGGGTCCCCCACATGTTGGAGTTCACGAGACCCTCATGTGAAGGCTTCAGGCCCCAGGCAGCCCCAGCTGTCCCATCGGTGGGGGCAGAGGGGCTGTGAGAATGTGGTGGCCCCATCAGCGCCCGTCAGAAAGGGAGTGCAGGGGGCCTGGAAAGTGGCAGAGAGAGCAAATACGCCAGCTCCTGAGCAAACCCAGCGGGACGGGAAGATGACAAATGATGGGATTGTGTCAGCTTGAGAGAGATTGGACTAATGGCACGCGGACTTTGCACTCTGAGGATCAATATTCCATCAGGCAGGGGAGCGCCAGGCCTAGCAAGTGGCGTTTATGTGGACAAAGGCGAGATCCCGCGATAGTCTGTGCACACTGCCCCCGGCGCCGGCCTCCGCTGTAAGCCTGAGTGAAGCCGAGAGGGGGTGGGGGCCACCGAGGGTCTTGGCATCCCCTGAGTGATGGGGGCAAAGGCCAGGCTGACTGAGGGTGCCACTGGCCTGGGTGTCCAGCCCCTGGCCTGCAGTCCTGTCCACTGCATCTCCTATGGCTACAGGTTGGCATCCTCAGGGTGCCCTCGGGCTGCTGGTGCCCAGTGCCAGGTGCTGTCTTCCCAAAAGCTGTTTTTGCTCTGCCTGGCTCTGCCCACCTCTTCTCTTCTCTGGCCACCCCAGAGGCCCATGCTGCGAAGTCTCGGGTGTCAGAAGGCCAGCACTGCAGCCTCGCACCCTGTGTCCAGCACCTGGGGGCTGCTATCTAGGCTGTCCATGCTCCAGTCTCCCCGGAGGACTCCGAGGCAGCCCCTCCTGGCGTCTGCAGCTCCCCAGGGGCCGGGGCTCCATGGCAGGTGCTAAATGCAGACAGATGTGGCTGGAGCCCCTCACATGGCAGGTGTCAGGTTGAGTCCTTGGGGTTCAGGGAGGCCAAGGCCAGGCCTGGCGCGGGTGGTCATCTCAGGGGCAGCACTGGTGGCCGTTGAATTGTTCCTTACCAGGGAGAGCAGGTGACAGGGAGGGATGGTTCCAGACCCCATGGCACCCGTATCTCTGCAGCGTGTCCGTCTCGTCGGGGGAGAGCAGGCAGAGCTCCCTGGCTACCCTGTGCCAGCGTCCTCACTCCTCGGTGCGAGCTTAATGCCCACCGTGTGAGAACCCAGAGCCAGGGCCAACGACGGGGGCGACGCAGGTTCACGGGTGGCCTGAAGGAGACCTGGCGCCCACCTCTCTGTCCCTTCCTGTGGGAATTTTGCCCTCAAGATGGCAGCCCAGCCTGAATGCCCAGACCCCGTTCCCAAGCTACAGGTCCTGGTCTGGGCTCTGTCACTCGGGGACGTGTGGTTGCTCGTCTTTCCCTGGCTGGGGCAGTACCGGGTCTGCTCAGTCCTTCCTCTCTCCCTGCCCGGGACAGAGGCTGCCCAAGGGGCCCACAGCTCCGGCTCTGATGGCGGACACGGTGTGGCCTGTCACTGCGGGTCTACGCCCGAGCTCTGGCCAGACGATGGTCAGGCTGACCTCAGAGGTCAGAGGCCACTTCTCGCCACACCCTTGCTGTTGCAGCCCTGACGCCCTCACCACAGCAGGCCTAGCTGCTCCATGGCTCTGCACCGCTGGTGCCTCGGTGGAGGGCTTGGAGCTCCGTGTGCCCCCACCTGCCCCCAGTCAGGCCCTCCACACACCCCCGTGACTGGGCACCCACTGCAGCACAGCCTGGTCACCGTCCGAGCCTGACCTCCCTCCCTCCACAGCACTCACCCCTGGAGTGGATCAGGACTTCGGGTCCACACCCATCCTGGAAGTATAGAAAGTGAGTTTGAATTCTGGCCCTGAAAGTGAGGTGACAGGTGGGCACAGCTGCCCCCAGGACCCACGGGAAGGGCTAGAGTGAGGGGCTTCTATCGGGGGCTGCTTCCTCGGTGGGAGGAGACCCCTCCTATGTGCTCTTCTGCTCCGGCTGTTTCAACTCCCATCAGCCGGGGATCATTCATCCCCGGTTTCTTGTCTCACACCAGCCTCTATGAGAGTGGCCCCAGGCTGACCCAGGCTTACAGGCATTTAAATACAAATATGGCAAGTGGGGACCGGGAGTGCTGGTCCCAGGGACTGCTGGACCGGGAGTGCATGACCATCCCGGTGGTCATGGCCCTGGCCTTCCTCAGGAGTCGGAAATTGGATTAGACCGTGCGGGAACGGGGCCAATTGAAACCAGGGGTTCAGAGGGTTTCCGCAGAGGTGGCTGGGAGCTGGCGGGTGAGGACACGGAGGGAAGGAACACCCTTCCTGGCCCAGAGAGCCTGTGAGGTGCATGTCTGGAGAGAGGTCTGGAGCCTGGGGGCCTCGCTATGCCACCTCACCTCTGGCTACCATGCAGGCCTTGCCTGTGATGTCCCCACTCCCGGCTTCCTTCCACTTGATTTGCCGAGTTGTCCAGAGCAGAAAAGGACTCTGGCTCCCCAGGTTCCATCTCTAGGGTGAGGAGCAGGGCCAGGCCCTACCTGTGGAGGGGGCCCGGCACCCCAGCCTAGTCCAGGCCCAGGTCCCGTCTGGCTTCCTACTGACCGCTGGCCTGAGCCACAGGCCCAGACCCGCCTTGTCCTTGTGCTCCGGCGATCAGGTGCTGGCTCTCCATGGGACCACAGACCCCAAGGCTCGCTGGTCTTAGGCAGGCCTCCGCACATTCATGTTTCCCCTTAGAATGCAGGACAAAGGCTCCAGGTGGTGCCACAGATTCACCGGCTCCAAGAGGCTCCTGGTACCGGAAATCCATGAAAGTTCTGTGTGTGTGTGTGTGTGCGTGCATGCTCATGCTGTGTGTGTGTGTTTGGAAAGATTGTGTGTGCACGCAAGCATGTACACACGCACACACACGCACACACACGCTGTCAGAGCCTTTTCACCATCCCTGTGAAAACACATATCCCCAGAAGGCTGAGCCAGACCTGCTCAGAGTGCAGAAAATGGAGCCATCTAGAAGGAAACAGCATGGAGCCCTGGTGGCCTGGATGGCAATCCACACTCCTGCAGCCCCAGCTGGCCCCTGGGAAGCATGATAGCCAAAGGGAGGGGCTCCTGGGTGTGCCTGGACACCCCCTACCCAGGGCCTGAGCTGGCAAGGGGGCAGCTTTGGGAACTAGAAGTGGTTGGATTTGGGGTGGTGTGACTGGGGCCCTCCCCAGCATGATGGCATCAGCCCCCAGCTCATTGCCCAGGTCTCCATGGAGACGATCAAAGCACCACCAGGAGAGGGGGAGGCAAAGCCGGGAAAGAACCAGGGCGTCTGTGTGGCTTTCACCACGTGCTCAGGTGCTCTGTGGCATGTGACCTGTCTCCAGACTGGCAGTCAGGGGCTGTCAGGGACCCCCAGAGCGGACTTGATCTCAGCCTGGGGGGGCCACATGGAGGGAGGGAGTCCAGGGAGACCCCAGCTGCTGGCGTGCTAGGGCATGCGTGTACACGTTTGTGTGTAAGCGTGTGTGCACGTGCATGCGTGTGTGCACTTGCAGGTGTATGGACACAGGGCCCGAGGCACCTCTGTGCCCAAGTGGGACTGAAGACTCCCGTCAAAGAAAGGCCTGGGAGAGCCCCTTGCCCGACCTTCTAAGTCACTTTGGCAGGAAGAGACCCTGGCTGAGGATTGAGAGCCTGGCCCACAGGGTTGCTTGACCCCAAAGCAGGCAGGGAGGGGCCTCCCTGCAGAGCTGAGGGTGGCCTGGGAGGTGGGAGACGGTATGGCCGTCTCTGTACCCTGTGCCCTCCTTCAGGCCAAGGGCCTTTTTGGCGGGACTGGCTGGCCTAGTGACTTCCAGCTGCACAGCTATCGACCCAGGGCTGGACGGCCCCTGCCTGGCAGAGCCTGGCCATTTGCTTTCAGGAGCAGCCCGCTCCGGCGGCCACAGTGGGGCTTCCTTTCCAGGCGCTGGTGGAGGGCCGGTGCCTCGGCCGGTGCCGTGGACATTCTTTGTGCGGCCAGGCGGGTGACCCACTGCAGGCTTGGCCCTCTGGGGTCTGGTTAATTACCTTTCTCCAGACACTGGTGTGGAAAGTCATTTCCTTGAGAGGATGTGGGGAGGAGGGCTCCCCATCCAGCCCTGGCCTCCACGGTCGCCTGGGCCAGGTCAGGGGACAGGGGGGCTGAGTTTTCTAGTGTGGCCTTGGGTCACTTCAAACCCTTGCCCCCCGGGATGGGGACTCGGGTGCTGTCCTGTGCCTGGCATCCAGGGCAGGGGGTGGTGCTGTGTATTTTCTCTCTGAATCAGGCTGCTGATTGTGACCTGGCTGGGGAGAGGGTTCTAGAAGCCTGGCCATGGCCCGATGAGGCAGATAGGAAACCGAGGGCCAAGGCTCGGGAACGTGGGAGAGTGGCTGGGGGTGCCATGTTTTGTACAAAGAGATTTTTATGACCGATCCTTTTTCTTCACGTAAGCTGTGGAGTTAAGTGTTTGGAATTGCTGCAGACGCTGAGAAAGGCCTGCCCCTGTCACGCCGGATTGTCCCTTGCTCAGCAGCTGACACGGCCCATCTGCAGTGCGCGGGGGAGAGGGAAGCCGGCAGAGGGGCAGCCCCTGGGATCCCTGCGGCCCCACAGCCCCTTCCCTGCCTGGAGGCTGTTTCTTGGAGGGGGAGAGAGGAAGGGGCACCCAGGCTGCAGCCCTGCCTGCCTGCCCTAGCTTGGGAGCCCTGCCTGGCGGCTGAGGCTGCAGGTCCCTTCCCCAGGGCTGAAGAAACCCAGTGAGAGGCTGGGGCGCTGGTGCCTCCTTGCTCAGGAGCAGGTGAAAGTGGTCAGTCCTGCCCGCCACTAGCCCTTATCCCACAGGTGGCCCCTGAGCTTCCGTGGGGGTGGCGGGGCCAGCCCTCGCTGCCGGCAGAGTTATCAGTTCACAGCTTGAAATCCAAGTAATTAAGGCGATGGATTAAATCTGTGGGATGTCTCCACGCTGGCCCGTATCACATCGTTCCACAAAGATCGTGTGTCCTCCCTGCCCCCCTGTCTGGCAGCCTCCCCTCCCGGGGCACTGGAAGATTCCAGGGACGTGTCTGGTGCGCTTCAGCCTGGCTAAGGTCGTCACCACAGAAGGGAGCTTTGGGGCTTGGCCCAAGGCCCGGTGACAAACAGGAGTCGCAGAGTGGCTGGGAGGAGAGGAGGGGCTTTGCTCCTGAGCTGGGGGGTCGTCATACACAAAAAGACCACTTCAAATGTGCACCTGGTCATTTCTTTTTAGTGACCCCAAAGTGTCTGCCACCATCCCGTCAAAGCTGGGGAAAGAGAAACCCAGGCAGCCAGAAAGGAACCCGGGAGACCCCCACCCCTCTGTCCCTGGCCCCGTCCCCGGCAGCTCTGGGGAGCGGGAGGAGCCTGCCCTTGAGTCTCAGCGCTGGAGCTTCGCACGCTGTTCGCGGTGAAAGGCGGGGTGGATAGTTGGTGAGGAGAGGGTCTGGAAGCGGTGGGCCTCGTGGGAGTGACCCCAGCCAGGCGGAGTCTGGGGAGCCGGATGGCAGGGCTGAGCCCCGGCCAAGAGTGCAAGGAGGCTGCTGGCCCCAGAAAGAACCACTAGAAGCCACTTCCCGCTTCTGCAGGGATTTGCAGAGACTTGCTCCTTCCGGGATCTGCCATTCTGGGGGTTCCTCACCCCCGGGAGCTGTGTTTGAACGTTTGAGGGACATTCAGATGTTTGGCTTTGGATTGGAAACGGGATATGATTGACTTGTGAGTGTGTTAGAATCTTGTGTTGGGACAAGGTAAGCGTGTGGTTTCTCCTTTCTTTCTGTGCAGGAAAATGCCTTAGTTAGTGCCCGGCTTGGAGGCAGCGGAGGCTGGGGCCAGAGGACAGCTTGCCTGTCACGGAGCCCGCAGGCCACAGGAACAGGCCTGGCTCCTGAGCTGCATGAGATCCGCGGGCCTGGGCAGGACGGAGCCTGCCCCAGGAGCCTACCCTCCCAGCAGGGCCTGGGGCTGCGGAGCCTCCGGTCCTAGCATCTGCCCCTGAAAATGGCACTGGTTTGGGGACAGGACACAAGCAGGAGAATTACATTATTTGTTTTTAAAAACAGCTTTTCTTTTAAAAGCCTGTCCTGGAGGAGAGCAACCTGGAGCTGTTTTCAGGACCCGGCTCAGAAAAGATCAGCTCCTGATTAAAACAAAACACAGTGAGAACAAGCCCCAGGTAGCTCAGAGGCCCCCAGCTGGAGCAAACTGTTTCTGTGGAGACTCCGCACGTCGCTTGCCTCCTGCAAGGCCGAAAGTGTCTCCCGGCCTGGGCCCGGCCTGGAAGTGCAGGGCAAAGGGCGGCGGTGAAAAATGAATGGGCTTCCGAATGCCGAGAAACAGATGTGAGGCTGTGCTGAGGAAGGGAAGGACAGGGAGCCAGCTGATTAGGGGATCCGGGGCAGGGCCAAGTGCCACCGGCAGCCTTGGGGGACAGCGGCCCTCCACCTCGCTGCCGGCTGCTGGCCCTCCTCGGCTGGGCCTCCCTCCAGCCAGCACCCCCTCCCCAGGCGGCTGGAGACCCCGGAATGTGTGGCCCCGGGCGGGAAGTGGAGGAAGAAGGGCTGCAGCCCCGTCAGTACCCTGGGTGATGTAGTGAGTGAAACATCTTGAAAAATGAAAGCAAATCCCACTCTAATCTCCCCGAACAAAGGCCTTTCAGTTGGGCCAGAGTGGCAGGCGCGGGCGGTTGGTATCGCCAGATCTTTTCTATGAAATGCGCACCCGGCGGAGTATGGATCTGATTAGGGCAGCCGGCCTCACCGCGAGCCCCTTTCCTGCACACGGTGTCTGTGGAGGTCAGGCGGACGTGTCCGTCCAGCCATGGCCCGGACACAGGCAGCCGGGCTGTGCGGCACAGGACTGCCTGCTGGAAGCTTCGCCTGCACACCCTTCCCGGCCTCCCATGCAGTGCTGGGAAGAACCAAGTGCCCCTTCTAACAATTTCCAATCAACCCCTGAGATGCTGGGCCCTTGACGCTCTCTGCAGATCCCCTCCTCTGTCCGGTGGCTGCTCTGTCATGTCCCTCAAACGTCCAAACACGGCTCCCGGGGGTTAGCAGCCCCTGGAATGGCGGATCCCGGAATGAGCGGGTCTCTGCAGATACCATCAAAGGCTTTGAGTCCGTCACAAACCGGAAGCAATGTCTCTTCAAAACTCCAACCCTAGAAGCAAACGGACCCCTTGAAGGTGGTCGGCCTCCCCTGGGGCCCACCTGGTGGCTCCGAGTGGCCACGTGGAGGAGTTTAGGGTTTAAGCAGAACAAACAAAACTCGAGTGCCTGCAAGGGGAAGAAAGGATCATTATACGAGTGAAAAAAATGAACCGTCTCGACTCAGCAAATACCACAGCCCTGCCCTCCTTCCAGACAACCCCCACCGCCCCCACAATAAAAACAGCCCAGGAAAGGAAATCAAATTTAGGCTTTCACTAACTGGCCAGAATGCTTAATTTAATAAGGGGTGGGAGATGCTGTTGTATTTTATTTTATTTTATTTCTACTTTGAACAGGTTGAATCTTCCTGTAGGGCTCTAGGGAGGCAGCGGCTGGGAATGAGAACCAGCCCCAGCTTTGCAAATTCAAACCAGGACTGGAGTGCGGGAAGGGCGAGAGGCGGAGCGCCTGCGCAGGAGCCCGAGGCCTGGGGGGCGGCTCAGGGGGTCTTGGTGCTCAGGGCAGTGGTGTGCAAAGGGCCGAGGTGGGTGGGAAGAAACCTCCTTGATTTCCCCGGGTGCTGGATGAGAAGTCAGCGTTCTCTGGTGTAAAGTGAAGAGCCTGAGGGCTGGATGCGTGGTTGTCGTGCCGGCTGTGTGCCTGCACCTCACATACGGGACAGTAGGCCTAAGCCTTCAGCGCACCCCTCCTCTGCCGTCATGGCCAAGCTGAACCCTTGCACGGGGGACAGGGGCTGCAGGACGCTTTGGTAGCAGGTTCCCAGGAACGTGTCTGTCTCCACGGCAGAGAGGCCCTCAGGAAAACCGACAGGACCCTAACGGGTGACCGTCCTGGGCTGAGGGGTCCAAAGCAACGTATCTCCAGGCATCTGACAAATGTATCAACCCCCAAGTGTGGCACCCGTGCAGAGGGAGTTGTGGGCGGCTGAGATCAATGCCCAGGCACGGGTGGAGGGTGTCTGCCGGCAGCTGCATGGAGCCTGTGGCCTTCCCGGAGGAGGGGGCGGCCATTCGGTGACGCAAACACCTGCCCCACCTGGTTTGCCCTTTCAGCACAGGTGGCCAGATCCCACTCCCAGCGAGGGGCCCAGAGTCTTCTCCAGTGCGGCAGGCGCTGCTGGGACTGGGAGGGGTGCAGCCCATCCCCTGCCCCCTTCCTTGGCATGCCGAAGGCCAAGCTGGGGCGAGGCTGGACTCAGGAGATGTGGCTGTGAGGGCAGCAACATCTTGTTCTAATTTGCCTCTCGGTGGCCTGAGAAGCAGGGTGCTCACGGGGTGCCCCAGGGCTTTGCCCCCGTGGCGAGACATTAAGTGTATGAGCTGTGGGGTCTGGGGCAAGGCAGTTGGCCTCTCCTCAACTGGGAACAAGACAGACTTGTGTCCTTGTCAAGGTTGAAAGAGGCCCTGTCTCTGAGCACCTGGGCTGGGGTGGCGCAGCTCAGCTGCAGTCAGCCGTCCCGGATCCCCGCCCCACCCCGAACGGTGGGTGTCTGGGTCAGCCCCTCTCCCAGGCTCTGTGCGGAATGACTTCTGTCTCCGAGGCTGCCTTTGGGACCCCGTGTTAGATGTGCCACCACCCGTGAGAACCGTCAAGAACTGCTGGGACCTGGGCACTTAGGGAAGGGCCGGCGGAGGTGGAGAGGGCCGTGGAGCCGGCCACAGTGGCTCCTGGAGTCCTGGGGGTCCTGTCCTCACACCCTGGCTCAGCCCAGCCTGGGCCCCGAGCTGGAGGCCGGCAGTGGGGACAAGACTTAGATGTTAGTTTTAAAATGAAAAGGGAAAGTCTAAGGAAAAGAAGGAGAGAGAGGCCCAGACGGTCTCCTGTTTTGCAAAGGGCTCTTCTGAGCTCCGACTGGCTTCGCTGAGTGGTTCTTGGCCTGGCTGGGCTGATCTATGTCTTTCACCCAGGACCCTCTGCTCTCGTGACCTCTAAACGTGACCCGCTGTCCAGTAACTGACCGTGGACAGGACAGAGGTGACAGCCCCAGCTTGGCCCTTTGGAAGGCAGCTAGGCTCACCACTATAGCACCAACGCTAGGATCAGCTTGGCCCTTTGGAAGGCAGCTAGGCTCACCACAGCCCACCTCAGCCCCTT